TGAACTAAAACAGCATCTTTTTTTGAAGGGGAAGAGCTTGAAGTTTCGGCCACCGTAGCGACACCTTTCTCCGACGATTCACGCCGTTTCAGGCAAGCTTTGGGCGCAAGGTGAGTATCAAATGACTCCTCTCTTCTTCCTCTTTCATTTGGTGGCCTCCTCGTCGACTGTAATAGCCGGAATCGGAAAACACAAAATGGGTATCACCGAACCTTTCCGGTCAATTTCCAGCCAAATAGTTCACACCCATCTTAATTTGAATACATATTAGTAATCCTCTCATCGAAACGAATAAAATGATGTATTGTTTGTTAATTTTGGTGAAGATTTGACTTTCCCGGCCACCGTGCACGGGCACCGTGCCAACGCGGCTGACAGCGGTGGTCCGGCGAGGACCCCGAAGGCAGTAATGATCTCCTCATTCGCGCGGATCACGAAAATCAAATCCGATTTTCGATCGGTACACTCTAAGACTCAATTCGCAATTTTCAAATAAATCCTAAATTAATGAATTAATTGAGTAATTAAGTGAGTTAAATTGAATATTGCTAAATATAGTTTATGAATATTAATTATAAAATTGATATTGAAATGAAAATTTTAGCCAATAATTATATAAGTTAATTTTCAGATTTTAAGAAAAATAAATAGGAGGGATGATAATTTATGGTATAGACCGGTAACTAATGGTATTATGGAAATATTCTTGTAGGTTAATATAAAGGAGAATTTAATTGGTATTATTAGTATTATTATTATTATTATCGTTATTAATATTATTCTCATGCTAAAATACTACACAATGAATAATATCAGCATTATTCTTATTATTCTTAATGATTATTATGATTAATATTATTAGAAGATTATTTAAAGGTTATAAATTAGAATAAATAAATAAATAGGGAAACTATATATATAGAGAAATATGCAGTTTAGTTTGATATGTGAGTAACCAAAACTAATAATTAAGATAAGATACATTTCTCGAATAAGACCTCTTATTTAGAATTTTCTTATCGAATAAGACCTCTTATTTAGGAATTTCTTATTTCTCTGATGTTGTTAAAGTCCGAAAAAGGTGAAGATCAAAGTTGAAGTGTGCAAAAATAAGATAAGTCCCCTTTAAACGGACCAGTAAAGAACGGTTGAGTGTCCGTGTTAGATAACTTGGTATCATCCGCTGCATTCCATGCATTCAACGGCTAAATGTTATCATAGCATTTGGCCATACGTGCTGTGCATTACTTGGTGAATTAAAATATGCTTGATTTACTTGTGTTGTGATAATGTTTGTGCCTTGTTTGTTGTTGGAATTGGGATGAAGTGGGTCACCATTGGGTTTGGTGAGACCGATTCTGTTATAGTGGATCCTAATTCTGATTCTGATTCTGTATATGGACGTTTCCTGATTCTGATTCTGTTTCTGTTATAAATGGATCCTAATTCCTGATTTTTGTTAGCCGGTAAATGGAGATCGGCGCCCCATGTGCACCTTATTACTGACTGTATATTCTGGAAGACCACAGGTTTGGCCTTCTTTATTTGGGCGCACCTGATATTTAAAGAATCTGATAGCAGCTCGCAGGTGGCCCTCCTGCCTTGAGCGCCTGATGATCTCTATTTGATGGAAACGACCACGGTTGCCTCTGTTGGTATATATGTAGGTATTATCATATAAAATACTAAAAAAAAAAAGAAAAGAAAAAGAAAAGAGAGAGATTGGCAAAATAAAATGAGAGGACCGGTCCGTGTGAAGGATTATACCGGTCAGCCAGAATGGGGGATTGGCTTCCTGGTGCACATGTGAGTGGTAATGGGCCATGTTGTGAGGACGGCTCATCGGGTTTCCGGTGACTCCACTGATATTTCCACGTGATAGAATTATAGAGGTGAAATCAGAATTGTGATTTGCTGATGTATTGCCATTTGTGTGACACTGCATGACCTAAAATTAATTTTCGTGACCAAATAAAATATTTTAGCATCTGTGTGATCATAAACTCATCGATGATCAAATAAAAAATATTTTTTAGCAATTTGTTATGATTGTGTGGGGTGAGAGGGTTATCTAATTCCTACTCAACGAGTCAGTGCTACCCCCCCCTCCAACCTCCCAGGTAATAGAATGGAAAGAAAGAAGTCCTGGAGTCCAACTCGAAACGAGATACACGGATCGATAGGAGCAGTAGATCGTTGATTTGAATATGTTAAATGCAAAGGATAAGTGATTATGGAGTAGAGTTCCGTAATTGTTTCCAACTGGGTTTTGTAAATGAATACAATAGAGTATAGACATTTATTATTTGGGTTGTACTTTGGATATAATTGGTGAAATAATTATTGGGCCTGAATCCAACAATTGATTAGAATGCGAGTTTTAAATAGTATAGGCTTACTACGGGCTTCGGGGGCCTTAAGCCCACCCAGGTCCTAGTGCCGGTCCGGCCCACGGAAAGGGTCGTGACAGAAGCAAAGCCTATGGTAAGCTTCCAAGCGAACCAAAACCAAATCCAAAGGAGCAATGTAATGCTACCTATCTTAGAAGTGGAAAGACTCTAGAAGAGCTGAAGAGAGCAATGCAGCAAGAGGAGAAATCAAAAGAAGAAAAACCAGAAAACAAAAAGCATGATGAAGCATCAGAAGCAGACGAGGAGACAAGAAAGAAAAGACAAGAAGAAGTCATTCAAAGGAGAATAAGAGCTTTTGAGAGGAAAGCCATTCCATTTCCCCAAAGACTCTGATAGACAAATCTAGATAAACAATTCAGGAAATTCATACAGATGCTAAAATAACTGTACATCAACATTCCATTCACTGATATCATGACTCAGATGCCTACCTATGCCAAATTTTTGAAAGAAATTCTGATGAAAAAATTAAAGATGGAAGAGTTAAAAATGGTAGCACTTATGGAGGATTGCAGTGCAATGATCCAAAATAAGCTGCCACCAAAAATGAAAGATCCAGGAAGTTTCTCTATTCCATGTGAAGTTGGAGCAATAAAGATTAACAAAGCCTTATGTGATCTAGGAGCCGGTGTTAGCCTGATGCTAATATCTATCTTCAATAGACTCAACATTGGAGAGCTCAGACCAACTCGTGTTGTTGTACAACTAGTTGATCGATCTATTAAGTATCCAAGCGAAATTATAGAAGATGTCCCAGTCAAAATTGGCAAATTCTATATTCCGGTGGATTTCATAGTACTGAGATGGAAAAGGATACACCAACACCCATCCTTTTAGGCTGACCCTTCCTAGCAATTGCTGGAGCTCTTATAAACGTCAAAGAAGGCAGACTCACCTTGAAAGTAGGAGAAGATGAAATAGTCTTCAACCTGCTTGATATGATGAAGCAGCCAGCGAAAAATGCAGAATGTTTAAGGATATGATGAAGCAGCCAGCGAAAAATGCAGAATGTTTAAGAGTTGACTTTGTTGATAAAAGTTCAAAGGAGATAATTAGTAGGAAAATCTGTAAGGATCCCCTCGACAAGTTCATTCTAACTGTTTACAATGATGATGAGGGAGATCCTAAACAGATAGAAATAGACCCTCCACCAGATTTATCAACAAGAGATCCAAACATGCCACGGATTGTAGAGACCATACAAAAGGTAGAACTGAAACCCTTACCTAAGGAACTCAGGTATGCATTTCTCGATCCTGACGATACTTACCTTGTGATAATCAATTCTTCTTCAAATGCTGATCCAGTAGAAAAATTGTTGCATGTTGCATTTGCTTAAACAACATAGGAATAGCCTAAGGTATAACATTAAAGACATAAAAGGTATAAGTTCATCAATTTGCATGCATAGAATTTTATTTGAAGATGGATTTAAACCTTCAATTGAGCCATAAAAAAAACTAAACCAAAATCTTAAAGTAGTTAAAAAGAAAATACCTAAGTTGTTAGGCACATGTATCATTTATCCTATTTCCAACAGTCAATGGGTCAGTCCAATTCATGTAGTGCCTAAAAAGGGAGGAATCACTATAGTTAAAAAGAAGATGACAAGACAATTGCCATTAGAGTTGTGATGGGATGATGAATGTGCATTGATTATAGAAAATTAAATAAAGCCACCCTTAAGGATCATTTTCCCTTACCTTTTATTGATCAAATTCTGGAAAGATTTATCTTTACAAATAGAAACTGTCAGCTATGTCAGATCAGAAATTACTTTTTGCAGAATTTCATTTAATAGTCACCAAGGAGGTTTACTCCAAAAATCTTTTAATGGAAAAACGTGAAAAGCAAAGATTTTGGCTATCTCCTCTTAATAAATTTATTCAATTAATAAATTTATTCAAAAGCATTTTAAAAATAATATTTGAGAGAGAAATAAAATAAATTTATGCTTATAATATTATTTACTCTCAATCCTACAATAATTTTTTAAGACCTATTATAAAACTAATCAATACAAAATATCTTCATTAAACTTCATGGTCTTCAAATAAAAATCTTGGATTGTAGGTGCTTTAATTCTTCAAATAATTTCTGCATAAAAAGACTTTAGCACGACAATAATATTAAATTTTTTTGGTTTGCATCATCATCAAAATCTTAGGATAAAATTGACCTTGAGCCAATAGAAAGAACATAAAATGTAACTCTCCATATGGAATTCTTATACAACCATCATTTGAATATTCCATAAACACAGTTAACTCTCAATATGAAATTCTCATGTAGGCAATTCAGTGGACTTTTTTAAACAACAAGCACCTACATATTAATTCTAAATATCACATATCTCTCAACATATGGGAACAACTGTTTTCCTCAGAAAAAAACATAATATGTACCAATCTCAACACCTCTAATCATCGTCCAATGATGAGGAGAACATTGACCAGAAATATTTAGAGACATTACTTTATGCAAAATAAAACTCATAATTATAAAATTATAACACATTATAATTTATTTTTTACAAAGCAGTATTGTTTCATTATTTTATCTTTTACCAAGATTCAATCAATATAATATAAAAAAAGATAAATGTCTTTTATTATTAATAATAAAATATTTATTACATGAGATATTATATCCAAAATATAACCAATCAAATTGGCTATAGGACATATAACTAATAAATTATATATCATATACGAAGGTATCTATAGTTCAAATTAGGACGCAGAACATGGAGGCATGTAAACAGGAGGTGGTCTGAGGCTTGTTTCTTTGGTGGTTCCATTCTTCACTATAAGCACAGTGTCCATACCCCATGTTGCGTGTCGTTCCAAGTGACAATGCATAAACCATACTCCTGCACAAACAATATCAATTATAATTATAAAATTTTTATTATAGCCTATAACGATTAATTTCAGTTAATCTTTTAAATTTGCAACTTCACAGGTTTAAAATTGAATATATGACTGTGAACCATTATCCCACTTTAAGTTCATATCATATATAATTGCAAAGAAGAAAAGAAAAAGACAGTTAAAGTAGAAGCCAATGCAATAAAGTTTTCAAATTTTCCAGTAATTTAATCGAGGAAAAAAAAAAAACAAGAAAAGAGATTAAACTTGAAAATTCTTCCTTTCATGTTACAAAAATTCTAAAAGATTAGAGTAATACTTATCCTGCCCGGATTGACGCCTAGATTCGTTCTACGCCTATATTCATGGACCAAGGAAATTTTTTGCCTACACTTCATGCATAACTGGTGGCATATGACAAACCAATCAAAAAAAAAAAGTTTTTTAAAAAATGTTACTGTTTTTGTTCTTTTTTTCCGTATATAGATAGAAATATCATCCTTTAAATCAAAAAACTTAAACACGTCGGATGTGAGTAAGTATTTCTATAAATCAAATCGATGAAAAATAATTTTTTATTTAGATAAGGGTTTTTCTAACCATTCAATAAAAAAAAAGGATAAAGTAAGGATAATTTTCACTGGCATGTTCCATCAATACCCATACACCAGGTATATGTAAATCCAATATTAGCCTTTAAATATACATGACAATTATATTTATTTGAATAAAATGAAAGTGGAGTGCACATGGGTAATATATATTGGTGGTCCAATAACATAACTCTAGCTAAAAATTGAAGGGACTTTAAACACAAATCTTCATTTTAAATTTGCAACTATTATTTACTGATTAATTGAGAAACAACAGTTTTTTGAATTTAAAATCAGTTAATAAAAATAACAGCAGTATATGCATTTCATATAACTCACCAGGATTATCAGCAACAAATCTGATGGCTGCCCATCCGCTCTTTGGGACACCAATGGTATTAACTAAAGGTGGATTCTTAAGATTGTAATTTTTGGGGTCTTGGGTACTATTAAAATTACCAACAAATCTGATGGCTGCCCATCCGCTCTTGGGGACACCAACGGTATTAACTAAGGGTGGATTCTTAAGATTGTAATTTTTGGGGTCTTGGGAACTATTGAAATTACCAGAATTAATTCCAACCAAATAGAAGCTAAAGCCATGAAGATGCATTGGATGATTTTCTGGTGACTGAATTGCTGTTCCTTGGAATAAAATTTCAACTGCATCACCATAATTTACCGTTAGGACTTTCGTCCCTTGTGTTGTGTACTGTGATATATTTGTCACATCTCCTGTGAAGTTGAATAGATTTGGCTGATTTGGGAAGTCCCGATCGAAAATGCCACTGATATTTCTGCAAAAATGTTTCAACATTTCATTACATGTATTAAAGCTGGGATCTGTCAGAACTAATACACTATGGGTAATTTATTAAAAAAAAATACCTGTAATATGCTTGAAGAATATCAATTTGCGGAGTTTGGAAACTTATATTGTTCAAGCTAGCAGAAATAATGGTCTGGGTATTGTTAACAGGGGGACCTTTACAGGTTTGACCATCTGGGCAAGGCAAGACATTTAAGGAGATAGCTATGAAAATGTGTCTGTCAACAACTTGAGGCACGTTGTAGTTTCGACTCGCTAAGCTTTTCAAAGAAGCGGTAAAATTTAAGGCAGAAGTTGCATTTCGCAATTCAGGAAGTGTTGGGGAAGGAATTGGTGATGGTGGAGTATAATTTCCCGTATACTCAATAATTCCTTTCGCGCTGCTGTTATCAAACTCTGCAAAACCATCGAAGTATGGAGTTGAAATCATGTAATATTGGGTTGGTGTTTGGTTCGCAGTGAAGAGAACATCCATTGTTTGTCCTGGTGTTATCATTAAGTAATCTGCCATGAGAGGTTCTGTGTAAGCTCCATCCATTCCTACAAGTGTAAGACTGTGATTGGCAATTCCAAAGAACTGTTCTTCGTTCATTATTGCATTTACTATCCGTAGAAGATATGTCTTTCCAGATGAAACTTGCATCCGAAAATTTTCTCCTGTATAGATATAGATATCGTCAAGAATTATTCACTGCTTGACTTTTAAAACAATACTAAAAAAACTAAGGATTGCAGTTGTTGTGATCTGTTTGTCAAATATAAATCGAAAGTTACTGAAATTTATGCTCAAAGTTCTAATCAGCAAAGTTTTAAAAAAGTATCTGGAAATTATTTTGTTACTTTTCAATTCAAACAATCAAATTCTACCATGTCCTTTAAACAGAATATTCCCATATGATAGAAAATTTTCATCAAATTTAATAAAAGATGCCTAACATAAATAAAAATTAATATAAGGAAAGGATTACCTATACTTTATGTATCCATCCATCCATAAAACAAATTATGTGCAGGCAAGTTTATGCTAAAACTATAAGTGACTTGTTGTTGGTTAAAAAGAATAAACAATAGCAAAGCAAATCCAATAACTACAATTGGGGCAAATAACAATATAAAATAATTATAAAAGATTAATATTTTTAATTGATAGATAATTCTTGAAAGGACTTAAATCTCTTAAACAAGAGTTTGAGTATTCGATACTTGTGAATGGACAAAGTTTCCATTGACAGTGTTTCCCCTTATAGTTTTAAGCGGTGCCAATAAGATTAAATTTAACCTAAAAGACTAAAGACACCATGTGGTATAAACAATATATTTATATATATATATACACACAAAGTCACCTAGATATGAAACAGACATTCACATGTTTTGTAACTCATAATATTTTGACCATTCGACCTTTCTAAACGCAAAAAAAAAAAAGTAAGTTAAAATCTTAATCTTGTTATTATTTTATTTACCAGTAGGGCAGTCAGTTGAATTTCCTGTGTAACCATTAATGGTATGGGCATCTGATACATTTGGATTGCCACCAGTTTCAATAGCCTCTTCATAGATGGCCATCACATCTCCCTTATACCAAGTTGCTACAAATTTCATTATTAGAAAATAAAAGATCATTAAATTAGTTAACCATATAAAAGATTAATATTACTGTCATGCTCAAAATTTTCAATTACATTAAAAATCATAAATCATAATAAAATGAATTTACTAACCAAGCACAATTAACTGCTCAACGTCAGGCTTTTGATATGGGTATTTGCCATCCGGAGGTAAAATGACAAAGGCACCATGGACGGTGGCGCGTGACCAGTCACTATGAGCATGCCACCATAAGGTTCCTTCTTCGTCAGATAATATGATTTCATGAGTGAAATTGGTTCCTGGTTTAATGGGGCACTGGGTTATGTTTTCAGGACCATCTGACCATGGATTTCTTGGTTGCTTCACACCATGCCTGTCAATTCCAAACCAAATTCCAATTTATTATACATACGGTTTTGACATCTTATGTAATTGATATAGCCTATAGATAAATCCGTCAATGAAATCATCAATATTTGATTATTGGTTATATATATTATCACAGGAAAGTTCTTTTCTTTTGCCTTTTATTTTACCAAGATTAGGTTTTATTTGACAAAATTTTCAATAAACTAATAAATTTATTTATTTTATTTGATTGAAGTAAAGATTTTTTAAGAGAAACAACACAATTCCAAAGAGACAAATGAACTAATTGGAAGATGAGACCCATAAACCTACCACATCTAAGCTGGTATACTACAAAGATTACATATCTCCGAAGTATGGTTAGAAGTATTCTCGTTTCTCTAATTTATTATTGTTTGATCACCGTTAAATTTATTATGATTCGCTTGGTGTATGAGATAGGCATAAGTAATTATGACTCTATTTATTTTTGGAAAATAATTTATCTTTGTAAAATAATTTCCAAATGACTTATTTTCCGTTGTTTGGATGAAATATTGAAAATTAGTTTAAAATATTAAAATTTTTAACTCATAAAATCATAATTTAAAATATTAAAATTTTTAACTCATAAAATCATAATAATAATAATATAAATTTCGTATTTTCAAAATTTTATTATTAAATATGAAAATAATGCAAATTATGAAAGTCCCTAGTGAATAGTAGTGGTGGCTACTAGTGTTTAACGGTGAGCAGTGATAATGACTACCGATGATTAATAAATGAAAAAAATATAGATTTACAAAGTCAAAATAAATTTGTCAAAGTCCGAAAAATTTTTTACGATTTTGAAATGGAAAGTCATTTCTTTAAAAATGAATTAATTTTCCTTTGATCAGGAAAATATTTTCCGTTGTTTCTAAACACCTTAAATAACGAAAAATTATAAAAAATATTTTTTTTAAATTATTTTACAGAAACAAACTCAGAGACGTCCTCGTGGACTTATGTGTACTTCTAACGGGTTATGTTTATGTTTATCCCACCCATAAATCTTTCTTGCGTCCAGTTGGGTTATGTGTACCTCTAATAACTATTTGAAGAAAAAAAAAAAAACAAAATAAAAAAAAAAAAACAAAATGACTTCCGATCCCTGACAGCAAATGGTCTCAATATAATATTTTATACCTTCAAGTAAAAAATTTGTAAGAAAGAAAAATGAATTATTTGAAATTATAATTCCATAAGATAAGAGTTATATGTATGTAATGTTGAATAAAAGAGAGTCCATTACCAATGAATGGTGACACCATATGTTCCTTGGTTATGAACGTTAACATAAACCAAGTCACCTTTCTTAACAGTTAAAACGGGTCCAGGAAAACTGTCATTTACTGTCAACATGCTCTTTGTACTGCACAACTTTGTAAAGTTTGATTCCTTCAACTGCACCAACGATATAAAAAAATAAATAAAATAAAATAAAATAACATTCATCCAGAAAGTCAGTTTCCAACTAGAAAAAAAATTTTAAAAAAAAAGTAAATTACTTTATTGTTAGTCAAAGTTCATATCTTAACATAAAAACATAAAAACCAAAACAGTTGAAAACAACTATTGTTAGTCAAAGTTCATATCTTAACATAAAAACATAAAAACCAAAACAGTTGAAAACAACTATTGTTAGTCAAAGTTCATATCTTAACATAAAAACATAAAAACCAAAACAGTTGAAAACAACTATTGTTAGTCAAAGTTCATATCTTAACATTTTAAACGGAATCAAGACATTTTCTAAAAGGGACAAAAATAATAATAGCTATTATTAGAAAAAACCGGTTAGGGTAGATGTGACATAAGAATTAATTAATTAATTAATTAATTCATATTTCACATATTAAAATCTGGGGACTGCTAACTCATTAACATTGTGAAACATATTAAATATTAAATATTAAGGAAAGAAATAAGATTCGGAATGCTCAAATTGAATGTGTATACGCTTATATTATTTTTTCTATGTTTAAAGCTGATAGAAAAACAATATAAAATAAAAATATGATTTTCTATCTTAAAGCTGAAGAAACAAAATATAAAATAAAAATATCTCTATCTTAAAGCTGAAGAAAAAAATATAAAAGACAATATTAATTTTTTTAATATAATCAAAAAATTATCATTAAAGGTTTTGATTGAAAGACATAAGAAGTACCCAAGAAAAGCTTTTGCTTCTTGCCATAGGAAGTTTAGAGAATTTTTCATTAAAAAAAAGAAAGAAAAAGCTCTTACGTACATAAAATCATAATAATGGAGCTGTGTTTGAGAAATGCAGAGACAGAAATATCAGAAGCGAAACCCATAATAACCCCAGAACAAATCTATTCTTTTTCAACAATCCCATTTTTAAAGGACTTTGAAAGAAAGCTTGGCTCTTCTTCTTTCTATGTGTTCTCAAGGTTGCCCTTAAGTAGTTCCTGTAGGAGTTTCAATAATCATTTTTTACCTATTTTGAAAAGCAAGAGCCCACAACCAAGTCCTGTCCTTTAATCTGAATATTTTTATGTAGGTAACTGAGGACCCTTAAAACAACAATTAAGTCTTTACATTGAACTTTTTTCGTTGATAACTTCAATTATTATACAACCATGCCATCCCACCCTACAAACGAGTTCTCCATATGGTAAAGTAAAAAAAAAAAAAAAAAAATCTCAAATGGTAAGGTAAACTTGGAGTTCCAGTTATTAAGTCAACAATCTATGTGAGATTCGAGATTCGATCTAATTACTTATGAGGAAGTAATAACCATGAATTCTAAGATGAGAATTGTCTTATGTCCAAAAGTTACGATCGAGATTCGATCTAATTACTTATGAGGAAGAATAACCATGAATTCTAAGATGAGAATTGTCTTATGTCCAAAAGTTATGAATATACTTGTGATAATAAAATAATAATAATAGGATAAGATTTCCCTGTATAAATTGATAATAAATGTATTTTTTTTAAAATTAATACCGATTTATCATTTTTTTTAAATGGATGGTCAAAATACTCTTGTTTAATGGAAAACTTATTTTTGATTGGATTTGGTGTATGGATAGGCCATTTTGCATGTAAGCCCTTCCTACAATAATAACTAGCTAGGGTACAATAGAATTAAGTATCTATATTATGTTGGAATTAACATTTAAGTCCTTTTCATTTGAGAAATAAAATATAACGTTTCTAATTTCTATTTCTATCTTATTATTAAGTCTTTCCGTCTAAAAAGTGAACTCTTTACTATTAGTTAGACATATTTTTTGGATGGAATATATTCACTTTTTTGACAGAATATGCTCACTTTGTGGACGGAACGATCCGATAATGAAATAAAGTATAAGTTAGAGATATTATAATTATTTATTAAATATAGAGGACTTTAAATGTTAATTCGAGCATAATTTAGGGGTCAAATTGTTGTTTACCCTAATAACTCCAACCCTGCATGATGGATAAGCGTGTTCCTTTTAAGTTTCATTTTGAATGTGGCCCAGCAATGTCTCATTTCCTAACTTTGTTCAACCACGTTAAAGTCTTTAGATAAGAAGCCTCACAATAAAGATCTCAAACGTTTTACATACTTTTATTAAAAAATCCAATCAGTGAAACACCGTTAAATAGCTACTGAATTGACAAATTATTTTAATATCATTTAATACTTATAGTTAAAAATAATTATGGTAGTTCAGTGACAAAGAGTAATTGTGGAGATTGATTACTGTGATTTAGGTTATGAGTTTAATTCTCTGCAATGCAAATTCCACCGGCCTCGGCTTTTTGCCTCCAAGGGCAAGCATAGATTAGTCAAGTTTACACGTGGACCGTTAAAATGGACACAGACCTAAACACAGTGGACATTGGCCTAAACACCTCATGCAAATATAAAAAAATAAGAAATTTATTAATGATGTTATCAAAGGTTAATAACGTTTTAATAGTGCTATCAAATAATTTATAATAAATATCATAGGAAGTGGCTCTAGAGAAGATTTTTACGAGGTTAGGTATTCAATTTATGAGAAAGCACTTACCGACAATCTCAAATTTTTATGTTAAACGGGTTAAATAGGTTTAAAATTTAAAAAGGGTCAAAAGAAAAAAATTCACATTCTTTAAAAGAGAAATTTTAAAAAAATTTCGCTAGCTAACTTTCTTTTCTCAATTTGAAGGGAAGGAAAACTATAATTGTATAATTTCATCATAAAGTGTGAACATTAGCTAGGCTCATATTTGTGGTGGCCAGTTCAGCAACCAAGTGTCTCTTACATCATGGCAAACAGGTGCGCTACTTTTAGTGTGCGGGATAATGATGTTATACGAAATTGGGAAGGGGATAGCTTGCAATAAGAATCAATTCTATTCATTTATTTGGTAAGAATGATAAAAAAAATGAAATAAAAAATCACTAAAAAACTAGAAGAATAATCCTTATTTGAAATAAATGAATTCCATAAAACTTTATGATTCATTTGTGATAATTATAGAATTGTTATAGTCATGCGAGTGATTGTATTCAAGTCGTATCAGATTGTTTCAATTGGCATTAACCTGCTTAATGGGTGAAGCTTTCCCTAATATACATGATATGGACATTAGGTAAGTTACGCAAATACAGGAGAGAGATATCCGGACGCTATCTCCTAATATTACGCCAATATCTCATTTCTGTTATATTGAATTTGTTACGTGGTCTTCTAATCTTTGTCAGCATGGGTGCTTATCACATGTCTCCTCGCAAGGAATATTTGACATTTATGTTGCAAGTCTAAAGTAGCTATGCCATTGTTGACGCGTGTTTTTTTGCCCCGCCTGATCCGATGATGACACAAGGATGAATGGATTAATGCTATCTAAAAACCTTTCAATCCAAGGATTAAAAAAAAAAAAAGAAAAGAAAAGAAAAAAAAAGGGAGCTCCGTGCTACAGTGGCTGTGCTATAGTGGCTGCGCTACAGTGGCTGTGCTACAGTATCCGTGCTACAGTGTCTTGACCTCTATAAATACATCTCTTTCTCATAATTTTCACACAACTTCACAACTCCACAAATGGCAAAAACCCTAAAAAATATACTGTGCTGCCACATTTCTTTTTCACACACTTCACAACTCCACAAATGGCAAAAAAACCCTAAAAAATATACTGTGCTGCGACATTTTTCTCTTCAAAAATTCTATGAGTGATTTGAAAGAGAAATTGGCAAATTAGATATCAATTTTAGGTTTGAAATGCAAAACCTATAAAAAGGAGAGAACAAAAATCAAAAGATAAAAACAAGGAACACTTCAATCCTTGGAACAAAGCTCTGGAGATTCTTGAATTCCATTTACAATCCTCATCTGAGGATTAGGGTAATTTCTTTAAACGATTTTTTGTGTTTTTTTTTTTTTACATATTTTTTTTTTTGTGTTTTTTTACATATTTTGTGGTTTTAAGTAATTTAAGCTTCTTTTAATTGTATTCTGTTCTCATATTTGGCCATTTTATATGTCCTTAAGATCACATTTAAAACAAGAAATGATGTTAAATAAAATAACTTAAAAAAATGAATTCTGGGTAAAAATCACGCAGTGTTCATCGATGAAACAGTAACATGGTTCATCGATGAACAGTAACTGTTTGTTCAAGTGAACAAGTACTGTTCAATCCCAGATTTTTTCTAGAAATAATAAAAATATATTAAAATTCATGCACAGATGTAAATTGATTACCTAAATTCTTGCCAATAAATTTTAGAGAATCCAAATATCTGAAATCAGAACACAGTTTAATTAAACTTATATAAACTAAAAATGTAAATTTTTAGTGTGTTTATTTTATATGAAATTTTACAATTTAATATGGTCAAATAAAAAAATGAAATTAAATTTGGTAGATCTTTATTACAATTTTGCAATATTCAGACAGAAAAAATAATAAATTAAATGTTTATGGGAGTAAAGTCTGTTGCTAATTTTTTATATTTAGATTTAATTTGCATATTCTTTATTAATATTTTTTGGATAATTAAATAAATAATTAAAGCCATGATTTTTAATTTTTATTGGTTATGGATTTAATTCTAAATCAAATTAATATATTTTTGGATCCGGTTTGTTACCCACTTTGAACAATAAGGCAAGAGCGAGGTCATTTATTTTATTTAATTTTATATTATTTGACTCGGTTTGTCGCCCCGCCTTGAACCAATGAAGGCCAAGAGCAGGGAATTTTTATTATTTGGTTTAATGCTTGGTTGTAGAATTTGCTTGACTGTGATAATTGGTTATGTGATAATTAGATTGATTGGGAGAATTGATTAAAATATATTCCGGCATATAGGCATCGCGGTCCGGATTACGATTTGGAGTGTGGGTTTAAAGAATAAATAAATAATGTTGGCTTTTCTTACTAAAATAATTA